TGCAATAACTTTCTTTCTGTTCTTAAATATGTTATCATAGAGGAGTTACTATCATTCCTAATCAGCTCAGCCTTGGCCAGCGGCAGGAAGCCCATCCTGGAGCCAGCTGGCATTGGCTCCACCAGACACAAGGGAAGCTTCTAGCAGCTTCTAACAGAAGCCACCCCTGTAGCCCCTCCCACTACCAAAATCTTGCCACAGAAACCCAATATGTTTTGAAATCCAACGACGTTTTTGCAGTTAGACACTACCACTGACAACTTACCAACCTTATTGATCTGTCACAATTTGTATTATTAAAGAGTGTTATTCCGTAAACTGTTAGAGTGAGTCCTTTATAAGGTGCTAGCAGTGGCCAGCAGCAGGTAACGCATTGGGAAGACTCATTGAGGGGTCTCCACACTGTTGGCTTAGCCCCTACAAAATGGTAGTCGAATCAACCTCTGATCCAGTGAATCTGTTCAGTGAAGATGGCCCCTTACAGGACTCTGTCAGACTAGCTGGACATAAGGGTTTTGGCTTACCTGAGGCACTGACAGACAAATAAAACACTAAGGGCCAAGAAAAGCTCTCCTCTCCAAGGGTCAGGCAACCCCCCCTTACCTTTCTCATGACAACCCCAAAGTTGGAGACCCAAGAGAGAGCCTTGAAACACCCTACTCCTGAGGACTTCCAGTTTTCTTACCTAGGCCACTACCAGAGTCTCCTCGCTGCAGAAGTTGCAATAGGGCACAGAGTCAGGCAGCAGCGACACTGCTAGCCAGCACCATAAATCACTCCTATGTCCAGGCTGCATTGCCAGGTCACTTTTTCCATCCTCTAAACTCCTTTGCAAGATACCTCCAGCTCACAGTGGATGCCTTTACCAAACCGTCACTGTCTCAGTCACCATCAGCTGCATACTAGAAAAAATGAGAATGGGAACCACTGTGCTCCATCCCACAGTTCTGATCTGATAAATAGCAAAGCTTGCTGGAAAAGTGGTGGGTGAAGACTTTTCCAGGATAAAATGACAAATTATGCATTTCATAAGCATTGTATTTTGAAAAATGATCTGACAACAGCAAAACAGTCCAAAGACTATTTAGCCATGAGTAGTATTTAATTGTATAAAGTCAAAAGTAATTTTTTTTCCAGTACAAAATGCCTCATCCATCTAAAATGAATTTTTTGTTAAAATCTGTTTAATAATCAGAGTTGATGTCAGGGTGCTACAATCCAGCTAGGACCACAGGAACATTTCAGATCAGGATTTCAGCAAAAGATTTCCACACACACATGCTTTTCTCTTGGTTGCAGTGCAGAGAGAAGCAACCAAGCCATGAGGTTTCATGTGATGAACATGCCTTTCACCCATCCTTGAGAAACCACGTGGGGAAAGAACAGTCTTCCATCATGCCAAGCAAAGTCCATGGAAACGGGTGGCAAAATTAACTATCCACACCCCTGGCACTACTGCAGCTTCTCCCATCTGGCCCAGGCCCTGGGGCTGTCCCTGTTCCTGCATGCCATGAGGGCAGCAGCCACACGACCCCCTGTCCAGAACAAAACTGTTGAACATAATATGCTGAACATGTTATGCTTCTGTTTCTCTAAAATGTCCAGGCATGGGAGGCTTTTTGTTCTGCAAAACTGAAACCTAGGTATTTTGTTGTTCACAATTTTAGTATTTTTCCATTTCCATTTTATTTTGACCTTCAACTAAGCCATGATGAATTTGACCCTATTGATTTCAGATCATTTTATCCAGCTAATCAAGACTACTTTGAATTTTAGCCTATTTTCAGAAGTGTTGATAGCTCTCCCCAGGTGCATTTTCTCATGTTTAATAAGAAAAAGGTGCCTACTCCTGCATTCAAAGTACTAAAAAAGTAAAAGACTTACTAAAGAAGTAAAAAACAGAACTACATAAAATTCTTGCAGACACTATTTATCAGCCTTCCCACTTTTTGATTTTTGGAATCTACAACTGAGCTTGATTTTAGCCAGTTTTGAACTTAACTTACAGTAATTTCATCTAGACTCTATTTCCACATTACGGTAGATCAGATAGGCCATTGCCCAAGTGCATTCAAAGTCTGGATTTCACCATTTTTATTTTTTTAACAGCTAGGCTAGTTATCCTGACAAAGGCAGCAGAGTATTATTTTTATGTGATTTCTTGGCAAATTCACAGTGGCAGTCTCTTACCTCTTTAGTGACCACAAGGACCTTGTATTTACAAAAATACATTTTTGTTCGTCAGAACAATGGTACCTCTCTCAGCAGAAGCTGACCAGGCCAATGCCCTTGGTAGCCCCTCAGGTATGTCTCAGAAGGCTGCGTTGACCTGAATACATCTAATCAAACAACAGGTTTGAACCTGTTGGCATTCCAGCCACAGTCTTTCACTCCACAGTCTCTCTTCAGTGTTAATACTGCATAACTCACTTGGAATGTTTGAAAAACAGATTTTTTTCCTTTGTTAGCTGGCCAGCCTTGCATGCTGCACACCTCATTTGATTAATGTTACAATAATGCAGATGCATAAGCATAACTAACACAGTAACTGAATACAACCCTATTGTTAAATCCATCTGTTTTACACTGAAATTAGCTCAGTTCCAAACCAACATAGACATATTATTTATTGCGAACAGATACAGGAAGGTGGTAAGGGGCTTTTCCTTTCTCTCTCTTGCTCTTCAGAACAAAGGTTCACACATAAATAACAAATAACTTGCAAAAGTAAAAAGTTTTTCTTTTAAGAAGTCAACATTTTCTTTTTAAACAAGCATTTTAAAAAGACTATATACAAGAAGTACTAATGTAGGCATAATGAGTGCCTACTGTTGACTCACAATCTGCTACTTGTTGACTCACCACAGTTCCACCTTGCGAACAAGCATACCTACTTCCTGACATGGTAGCTCCGGTGTTTCCTGCATTGTCTGGAAGCCTGCCCTCATGCACCGGGCTTCTTCAGACAGTCTGTTACACAAGATGTAGTTGCAAGAAGGTTTTTGTCCCAATTTTTCTTCCATTTCAGAAAGTACCTCAAAAATGGCACTTTCGTAAACCTAACATTAGTGCATCTTAAAAGCTCATGTCTTCAAAGAAAGCACTGTCCACAGAAGTGACAAAATACAATTTCCTCATATAATTTCTAAAACATTCAGGCATTAAAAAAATAACACCCAAAACACATCCAGTTCACCGTAGTTTTATTTTACTGTATTCTGTACAATGTACTGCACTTTGTTCAGACCTCTGGAAAGCACTCAATTTTTTTATTCTTCTCCCTCTTGAACAAATATTCATATGGACATAAATACTTTCTCTAATTATGCAGCACATTTATTTTAAGTAATTTCATCCCTACCTGAACTCATTTTAACCAGATTTATCATGGCATATGCTACAGAGTTTGAAGGCTTTTTTAACTATTAGTTTGCTCCTTTCCTATGATATATAATAAAAAAATAAAATTCTGCCATAGCAGCAAATTGTATAAGGTTAGCATGTTCTGTGGACACAAAGACAGAAAATAGTTAAAACCCTCATCAGTATATACCTAATTCCAGTGTGGTAAGTTGTTTATGGAATGCACGTGGAGTGCTTAGCCATCAGAAAATATGTGTCCTTTTTATGTTTAGTCTTACTAGCTTACTGCTACTGCTAGGTATTTAATTACAGATTTAGAAAAGGATTTATGTATTAAGCATGTCATTCTGAATTGGTACTATAGCAGCAAGCACCATTATCAAGAATAAGCAAACTTAAGTGCTGCTATAGTTATATTTCTCCTTAAGCAGAAGAATTACTATCTAAATCCTACCTTCTTCCAAAACTACTTTGGTTTTTCGTCACATCCCTGGAAAAATGTGAAATAGTATTTTTATGTTAACTCTTCCTATAAGCTTCAATTCCGTCTTCTCTGTTTATATTTTAGGTTTCAGTTCTCCACTCATTGATGCACACTAAAGCATCAACAGGACTTAAAGAATGCCATGAATTGTTTCAAAACACTGTCAAAGAAGGAAATTTCCATAAGATAAGCCACCACTACTGGAACTTGTGATAAGAACCAGGTCTGGTAAGACAGATCTGGGTAACCTACTCGAACAAAGATTCCCACTGTGGAAAACGGTGAGAAAGGAAAGCATTAATTATAGACATAAATGAAGGTAAAGGTTTGAAATTAGCACACTGGACAAAATTCCACTGTGCAAGCTGTGATAAAGAAAACAACTGCTTACACTCATGCCATCCCAAGTTGTGGGAACATCCAAGACTCCCTGTGAATATCTGGGACTTGGATTGCATAAAAGCGGTACCCAAAAAGCACGACATTGGGACCCTCATCACCGAGAAGACCAGAAGGACCCTGTTAGAACCCATGTGGTGAAGATATCTTTATCTTTACCTTTATCTTTATCTTTCTACTTAATCTGTCTCTCTCTTTCTCTCTCTCTCTCTCTTTCTACTTCTCTCTCTCTCTCTACCTCATATTTACTGCTAAATAAAACCATACTATTGACTTTGGCACATGGTCTCATTTGCATCTTAATTCAGGCAGAGGTATCTTTTAATAATGGGATCCTATCAAGTATTTATTTGCAAAATCTAACTGCATAACAGAGATGCAGTTTTCATCTTATGCTATGCAAATCACACTATCACCTTTCAAAGAACTACTCTACCCGCAGATTTGGTCAGAAGATTTTTGGTTTTTTTGTTCTATTTTCCAACCGTGACTAGAGATCAGATTCCCCTCCACATATGCAATTAGGAGCCTATGCACATTATGAAATTTTAAACAACCAGGGAGTGGTAAGTACCAGATCTAAAAGCAAGAGGCTAGCAGTCAGATGTTGATAAGATGGAGAGTCAGTCATGTATATGATACAGGAACGCCGACATAGTTAAGTACTTGAATAAACCACATCTATGTTCAGACCAGTACTTGTTATTAACTTATTGATTATATTTTAACTGGATGAATGTGTATTTAAGTGGATGAATGTGTATTTAATGTGGACCTATAATCAATCCGACAAATTCCACTGTAACTGGTAGCTTACTTCACTAGATTTTATAATCTTTACTCCATCCTTATAAATGGAAACTCCTACTGAGTTTTAATGCTTAATACTCTGTATTTTTGTAATCAGCTAAATATTCCATACACACAATTAGTATTTACACATTATCCTTCCTGTGTACATTTAAGTGTTACAGAACAATAACATCTAAACCACTAGTTTTGTTATGCTGGCATTATATAAAATGCTTTTGGTTCCCTAACACAAAGCAGTAACTGTTTGGGAATCTTTACTTTCAATAGCTTATATAAGACAATAATTCTAATACTTGAAATACAGTATAATATTACAAATGCATAGTGTTTTCATACCCTCAGTCATATTAAATCCAGGTTGTTTCTGTCTACTCCCCGAGCCATTTGTCAATTGCATTCTCATATTTTTTTTGTTCCTTTAACCAGTCTTGATGCCACCTAAGGTTCGCAATAACACTTGAGTAATTCTGACCCAAACTTTGTTTCCAACTGATAAACTGTCGTTTGTTATACTCCTGAACAGAAGAAGAAACCTTTGGATAGTTTACTATAGAACGGAGTATTTTGTCCAAGGAATGTACAATTAGTGGGAATTTTATGGCAACATTTGTTAGCTCATCTGGATCAGCAGTAAGATCTGGAACAAACAAAAAGCCAGTTAGGACTGTATTTAATTAAATTAATGAGTTAGTCAGGACATAAAAGTTGTAACATACCAAATAGTTGTGGCAGTACTGAACAGCCATCCGAGTACGCGATGTATTTCCATTTGCCAGTTCGCAGCATATACACAGAAGAATTCACATTGCACCCATGGAACTCACTCAGCACCCAAGAGGGCCGAGGTCCTCTTGGTGACACTTCACTCTCAGTCTTTTTATGTAGCAGCGGTATAAGAGAATATCCACTGAGGTTCTGTGGGACAGGAATTCTTGCTATATCTAAGGAAAGATATAAAAAACCAAAATGCTATTGCAGTTTCCATGATTAAAAAAAGCATAACACAATGCTACAGTTGTCTGAACATTTTATTTTTATAATAAGATGTACATTCCTAATTATTATTCTTGAAGAACAAAGAAACACCAAAATACACAATGAAGAAACTTTAGGGAACTTCCCGGGGCAAGCTGCCCACCATCCTGTTTAAATTCACTATCATCTATGTCTAACAGAAGTTTGTGAAAAGAAATCTCAATAACCTCCTTTGATAGGTGGTGCTTTTTTATTTTCTAATCATGGTTGTAAACATTTCTCTTCTGCTTTGACTGCACCAGACAGGAGAAAAAGAATGTCACAGTACGAAAAGACTCAACATTCAATATGGTGTAGCATTCATTCCTTTAACAATAACAGTGCTAAGCTGCTATGTAGCATTCTTCAGCAGTGAATACTGAAATGCTTTACAAAGGTGGCTGTTATGGTTATCATCTGTAACTGGTGGGGAAACTGAGAAGCAGGGGCACTTGCTTCTCTTGCAGGACCGGAGATAAAGATGGTATCAGAGGTAGTATCAAGACAGTGCATGTATGGAAAACACTGGTGACTCCATAACCCACTAGATGACCCTCAGAAGATGCTGTAATATCCATAAGCTCCTCAGCATCAACTTACATCACAAGTGTCTCTAGGTCCCAAAGATCAGGTCAATATTAAAACATAACCGAGAATCCCAATCATGTCACCTAAACTTCAGCATGTCCTAAAAACCAGGTATGACAGTAATTTTTTAATCATCACACTGAACATCGTCTATAGACATTCAAAATTCAACATCTTCCATTTCACAGAGCACAGTGGTAGTATTTAATCTTCAGTTCTATGCCCAGTAGCAATACTCTGCGCATACAAATTGCCCATAGGTGACTTTCTTTATCAGTACACATCTTCCTTTTTGTCCTCTGTCCAGCCAGCATCTGACTAAGCGCTAGAAAGATCTGTAATGTGTAAACTCAGCAGTTTCCAATGAATGGGCAAAAACCTTGAACAAATACATACTACATTTAAACAAATGAAAAAGGGATATAGGCTCTTCTGTTATGCTAAATCAGTAATGCTATTAGTTGAAGTAACTGCATGTGCAAAGAATGCTCCCGGTACCTTCAGCAGTTCCTGCTTTCCCAACAGAAAGCCAAAGGTACTTTCATACAGACCAAGAAACCCCGTGTTGCCTGGAGGAAAGGTTATGTTACATCCTGTTAAAAAATGCAAGAGCTGTTGCACTTCCATGTGAATTATAGGTATCACACAGATTCTGCTGGAATCAAAATATCTGTACCTATTCACAAAGTCACCAAAGGTGGAAGTCTTGAGCAAAGCATTTGGATGGTGTCTTAAGAGAGATTATTTCCCTTAGACGCCACAAAGCAAAGGGATTATATTTATCACAAAAGTAGGATTGAAATCTGTTTCCTCATTAGCCAGCAGTAGCATACAAACTGAGGACATAATAGACCACAGAGGTAGTTCTTCACATTTTCACAGTCACCTCGACATATATGCTTTTTTGATATTCAGTTTACAGAAAAGGGGAACTGCCAGAAGAGAAGGAAAGGATTACACACACAGAGTTCCGAGGGGCGGAGGGAGAAATAGGAGGAAAAGATAGAAGGATGTTAAACCACCTGGCCAATTATTTCATTTGGGGAAAGGGGACTGTATTGGGACGAAGTTGGGATGTTATTTTTTGGTCTATGTTTGGCCCTAGCCACCTGCAGAAGTTTATAGTTTTTCCTGCCAAGTCCTCTGATAAAGCAGTGAACTTGGCCTTGGAGGGAGAGCTTCTGTGTAAACTGTTTTAATTGGTCTATTGTGATTGGTCAATGGCTCGTCAAGGGCATTTGGAGGACAAAGTGATGAGTAGGTGATGAAGGTTCTCCCCCAGCCTCAATTGGGAAAGACCCCCTTCAACTCACTGCGCCTGCGTGAGGGGATTTCCAAGGTGCTCACGCATGCGCAGGAGGGGTGCACTTACATAACCAAGGGGGTGGGACTGAGAACCCCTGACGGGCGGTACTGGCCACGCCTCCCCGGGGCAGGTGCTCTCAATGAACTTTATAAAGACAGACACGTTTTCCTTTGGGTGTGGTGCCGGCTCTTCATGATGGACCAAGTTGCTTTTAGCGGGGACGCCTGCTTAAAGTGGGAGCCTGCCACCCCTTCGGAACATGCAGCTGCCACAGAGAGACTTCATTACTGGTTAGGATGGGTAAGATTATCTTATAGGTGACACCTGGGTGAGTATGGGGTGTTGAGCCTTCTTTCTAGGGTCTTTTGTGCACTTTTTTCCTCCGCCCTAATCCTTTTCCCTCAGGCGCCTGTTTTTCCCCTTTTTCCTGTTTGCCACCCTTCATAATAAATAGCTATTTTGCCAACCAGCAACAGTGTTTGGTCTTTTCATGCTCCAGAATCCCTCGAACCTGTTTTTTCCTTGATATGTCTTCCCCTTCCCCGTTACAGGGACAAAGAAGAAAAAAAAGAGATTTTTAACTCTTTACATATGATACCATAACTTCATCATCATCATCATCATCATCATCATCATCATGGTTAGGCTTCACAAATGAAGATTTGGGAAGGACACTACCCAAATTTGCTACAAGCGCGCTGGTGGCTAAAGAAGCCAATGCAAGACAGACAAGTCCAGTTGTAAAAGACACAACAGAAAGACTCCTTGAATGCTATCGGCAAGACACGATTCCTTCTGCATTGTCTTTTCTCCTTGAGAGTGATCCTGTGTGTGTTCTCAAAAGCATCAGCAGCGTTATAGATGGTGTGTCTCCAGGTCTCCCGACTGGAGGCCAGAGTAGACCAGGTACGAAGGTCAATATGGCCAAGGCTGAGATGTTGTTTCAGGGAGTCCTTGTATCTCCTCTTTGGGGCTCCTCTCTTGCGGCAGCCAGTGGCAAGTTCACCATAGAGCAAGATCTTAGGGAGGTGGTGGTCCTTCATCCTTGAGATGTGTCCTACCCAACGCAGCTGTGTTCTCAGCAACATGGCCTCAATACTTGTGACTGCTGCTTGCTCTAGAACAGATGTATTGGTCACATAATCTGACCAGTGGATGTTTAGGATTGTACAGAGACAGCGGTGATGGAAGCATTCTAGGAGTTGCAGGTGGTGGCGGTAAACGACCCACGATTCGGATCCATATAAAAGAGCAGACAGCACAATAGCTCTGTAAACACCGATCTTTGTACTTTTCTTCACGTGTTTATTTCGCCAGACTCTTTTATGGAGTCTTCTGAAGGCACTATATACCTTTGCTAACCTGTTGTCTATCTCTCTGTCAATCTTACAGTCTGAGGAGATAAGGCTACCCAGGTAATTAAACTGCTGGACTGATCTGAGCTCTGATTCGCCAATGGTGATATGGGATGATGGAAGACTTCCTGAGGTGCAGGTTGATAGAAAACATCTGTCTTCTTTAAGCTGACTTCCAGCCCAAAAAGCTCAGCAGCCTCAGCAAAGCAGGATGTTAAAGTAGCAGTGGAGCTACTTCTGTGTCGGTAACAAAGGTGGTGTCATCAGCGTAAAGCAGCTCCCGGACAAGATGGTTTAAGGTCTTACTGTGGGCCTTCAGTCGCCTTAGGTTGAATAGGCTCCCATCAGTACGGTATCGAATGTAGATACCATCTTCTTCATCGAGGTCTGCCATGGCCCTTTGGAGCATCATGCTGAAAAAGACTGTGAATAGAGTTGGTGCAAGAACACAGCCTTGTTTCACATCATTAGTTATCAGAAAGGGCTCAGAAAGTGTATCACCATATCTGACTTGGCCATGCTGATCCTCATGGAGTGAGATGATGTCCTAGTTAGAACAGCTGGGACCGATTCATCATTGGATGGGTGTAGCCCAAAACTGTGTATTCTATAGCCCTCCATGCCATTTCCCAGAAACTGTTGTCAGTAGAGGCCTGCGAGGTGCCCCCCCCCATGCTCCTGTCCTCATGCCCTTTTGTGGAATTCCCTGACTGAGCACCCTCACACCCTTTTATGGAATTCCCCACTCTGAGGGAAGGATTGAGCATCCTTTTATGGAATTCCCCGCTCTGGGGGAGGGGCTAAGCATTGCTGCCTGAGCTGGAGAATATATAAACCTGGAGTTTCAGAACCTTTCCACCTCTTGTGGGATCCAGAGGAGGACTGCAGCTCACCGCTCTCAGCCAGACTGACACCACCACCCTCAACTGAACTGCAATCACCACTTTGGCCGGACTGCAGCAGCTCTCCCACCAGCAGGGGTTTTTTTTCCCCTCTCCGTTTGCTTTGGACTCGGGGGGGGGGCCAGGGAACACCGTTTTTTTTGTGCCCTGGGGTGCCAGGTTGTACATTTGGGTTTTGTGGGTTGAGACCAATTGCTTGTCTGTGTAGTCGTGCTTATTGTATTATTTTATTAAATTGTTATTCTGACTTGCAATCTCTCTTTTGAGCTGAGTTCATTTCCCCTGCTGGTTAACTTTTAAACCAGCACAGATGATCATTTTAAGGAACTTGGGGGGACAACCTAAATGTTCCAAAATCTGCCACAGACCTTTTCTGCTCACAGTATTGAAAGCCTTGGGGAGGTCAACAAAGGTTACATAGAGTCCTTTGTTCTGCGCTGGGTAGAGGGCTTTGGACCTGATATGGAGGCCCATATGCTGTTTTCAGGACCTCATAGAATCCTCTGTAATCACCTGTATCAGCACACAATTGAATTTTTCCTGCTAGATTGAGCCACCACTTGTTCTGGATGTCTCGGAGTTTCTGTTGGAGCTTGCTGAATGCAAGATGAAAGGCTGCTTTTCTTACATGACAAGATGGCTGAGCAAGGTGTACTTGGTGAGCAGTTCTCTTCTTCCTCAACAATTCCTGGATCTCTTGATTGTTTTCATCAAACCAGTCCTTGTTCTTCTTGAAGGAGAACCTTAAGGACTCTTCAGAGGATTTGATATTAAATTTGAAAGAAAAAGGCACTCAGATTTTATATCCTATTTTCAACTGGATAACAGGATTTTTTGCTGACATTCACTGCTAGAAGTACAGTTTTATCTACTGCCCCATGTTCTCTCAGCCAACTGCAGTGTACACGTGACACATCTTAGAGAGAAAGCTTTGCAGACTGGCTTGAAAAGAACGCTTTTCTGATTGGTAGCCTAAAAGATCACATATAGTCTCAAATGGCAACTTCACCTGATGTTTAGTTTCAATGAGAGTCATCTTGCATGATTTATCACAGACAACTGTTTAAAACTTCATTCTTAAAAGTAATTTCCATCCAAGTAATTTTACGTCAGTTCTTTTCATTTGAGTCTCTGTCCCACACTAAATACTTTCATATCTAATAAGGTAAGAATGGATATCCATTATTATATCTTATTTCCTTGCCCAGATCAATTGTATATTTCTTATACAAAGCCTATTGTTCTTCCATACGCTCTTCATAAAAGACATTCCTTTGATAAGCTAATGAACCTGCCATCCTTTCAGGTTTAATCTCATCTCTGGATGCATTTACACTGTAGTTTTGTTACAGGTTAGAAATTCAGGAGAATTTTTCTTCCCCTGCTCCACTGTGAGAAAAAAACGGAGTGAATGGGGGGAAGGGAGTCAATTAGCTTTACAAAAGATCTGGCCAAATTCCTAGCAAATGGCCCATCAGAGGCTGGGGGGAGCTGGCTGTCCGGACAGAGGAGAGACTCAAACTGCTGGGTTCTCTTTTGAGGACGGAGACAGGGTCTGTGTTCGGGGCATTTGGAGAGAAGGTCTGGAAGCCTGTTTGTCTGGCTTCCCATCCTGGTCAGCCCTGACTGCTGACCTCAACTTGCCTGCGAGCTGTCTTTTGTCTCCAGCCCCGACCTGCTGTGTTTTCATTCTCCGTGCTCGCTGGGAGAAAAGGAGGAGCTTTTGGGGCACCATCAACTGAGAACCACAGTGAGTCCTGTGGGGTGAACTGCTTTCCTTACCCCTTCCTTCCACTGGGGGTAGGGTTCCCCATTTTCTTTTCGGCTCCTCCTGCGACCTGAGACCAACCCCCAGACCCCTCCCTGTGTGGTGACCGCCAGAGCCCAACAGCGCCCCCTGCAGGCCAACACAGAGAACTGCAGGCTCTGCACCTCCAGTGACCCAACAGCGCCCCCTGCAGGCCACGATTAGAACTGCGCTGAAGGACAGAGAAGTATTCATTCAGACTTTTCTTTTTCCTAGGATTACTGTCTAGGTTTTTTTTGTGTTCTGTTACAGTTTTTTGCCAACATACATATATCTTTTAAGAAAGGGTTGTTATTTCTTCTGTTTTTTTTCCACAGTTCCTCGACTAAAGCCCCTTAATTTTGAATTTACAGTTGCTGAGAGAGAGGAGTTCGGTATATCTCATAACTCATCCTCTTTAGCAAACACTCCAGTCTCCTCAGACTGAGACAAGTTTCTATAGTAAACTGTTAGGTATGAAGGCTAGCAAGGATTATACATATCTAAAATGCATCCAAGGAGGCATAATTCTGACTATAATACAAATGCATAATAATGGTAACTGGGAAAAAAAATTTCATTTGAAATTACTTAACTCACCAAGCATAGTAGGATATATATCCACAAGAGATACTACATTTGGTATTTCCTGCTGTTCTTTTACACCTGGCCCCATAACTAAAAGAGGAACATGGGAACTTCCTTCATACATGCTCATTTTATAGAACTGACGATGTTCCATAGCAAGTTCTCCATGGTCTGCAGTGAATATAACGACTGTTTTTCTAAGAAGCCCAGTATCTCCGAGAGCTGAAATAATCTCACCTGCAACAACAAAAAGGTACTGAAAATACATTGAAAATACTTCTTCCAACTTCTGTACCTGCAAAGCAGCATGTAAACCTCTAGGAATTCTCCTAGTCAGAGGGCTGAAATCTCCTCTCTTTTTGCACATACATTTGTGCAATGAAGATATGACATACACTCCTCTCCTTTTGCATGTACATTTGTGCAACAAAGACAGGGCCAAGATCAACGAAGTCAGTAATTAAGCAAAGTACTTATGCATCTTAAATATTAAAACACTAGAATGATTCTTTCTTAAACAAATTTGTCAAAATACATTACAAAACGAACACCCCAGCTTGCAATCCCTTCATTCCCTAAAACTGTCAGGCTTCCACTGATCTCTTTTCATTCATAAAATGAGGAAGAGCAATTCTGTGTCTTTGAATTCAATTTATCAGCCTAACATGTCTAAAAGATCAGCTTATTTATTCATGAATTTTATACTAGTAGGCAAGTAAATTCTTGTTCATTCATGGTCACTTTTCAAAGTAAGAAATAAAATAAATTAAGACCAATTTGCATTGTCATTTTTGTGTATGTAGACCTTATGGCAAACTAGGAAGAATTCTGAAAGTCCAATGAATTATTTCTTAACTGTCAATAATATGCTGCTAAGGGACACTCCAAATGTAACCTTATTGTTTAGTCTACGTGTAACAGCTGTTATCCAGTCTATGCATTTGAAATCAATCTCTAAGAACTACTTATGCACTAAAATTATCTTTCCTTTCAGCTCTTTGCCAGTCTGTCTCCTCCACAAAAATGTTTCCATTATTTCAGTTAGCATTTAATCAAAGAGCATTTAGTTCCTCTTGTACATGGGTTTGTACAATGTTTTGCTGCTGGTTTTCAACAGAGCCTCTGACTTGTGGTTGTGATCACTTTTCAGAGTGCACTGAATTCACCTTGCAAGAACCTTATAAGCTATCCCATTATTTGTCATAATGGGATAGCTTATGATTGATTAAGCAACATCCACATGACTTACTCCCAGGTCTGAATTGAGGTGGTTTGTTTTCTATTTTTCCCCAAGGATCAGCCCTATCAGCATTTTCCTTAAAAAACCAAAACTAGAAAACTCACTGTATAATGAAATATTACCTACCCAGCATGGCATCTGTCTCTGCACACATAGCATAATAAAATGCTCTAATGTTTCTCACTTCTTCCTCTGTAAACTCTCCTGTGCAATTCTTGGTGTACGATGAGTAATAGTCTACTGGATGCATCTCGGAGAGAGAAGACCACTTAGGTATTTTAATAGCTTCATAGGTTACCTAAAAATAAGAGGAAATAACCATCACTTTAGCAACTGAATAAAACATATTTTTTTAACACAGATTTAATTAAAAACTTTTTCACATAAATGCACAGTTCTCAGTTTACAGTCCAGGAAACACCACCTGCTTATCTGTTATGTGGTGCTGCTACCTTGTCTGTACTTCCCTGCGGCTTCCACAGGTAGCAAGTAATTTTAAAAAATCATCTAGAAACTAAGGCTAGGAGCCAGAAATGTGTGCTTTACCAGCTGTTGTATTATTTTAAGAGAGAGAGCACAGAACAGTCTTCTAGAACTGTACTCCCGAGTAAGTACAGAAGTATTGGCATAGTGTCTCATTAACTGTATGACAACTATAAACCTCATGGAACAAAAATATTGGGTGTTATGTGGGACAACATGGAAATTCATGTAGTCTGGGAAAGTCTCCAGGACAGTGATGACAAGTCTTGACATCTTGAAGAAAAGAACTGACTATATTAATCCAATTTTCTAATACTTTTCTACTTGTTTCTACAGATGTCAATCCATTTACTTATAAAGAAATGCAAGATCAGTGTGAAACTAAGAAGCCAATAAATTTCAAGTAGTGATGGATATGTGTATTCAAACTGGCATACTCACAGATATTGCGTGCTGCAGTACTAGATTTAGGGCCTCCAAGTTTGACATATACATTTAGCCTAGGCTGTCATACCTATAAGCATTCCCTTATGTAAGTGCTGTATTTAACAGTTAATAATTTCTATATAGTAGACTTAAAGCACAAATTACCACAAAAGCAGAGAAGATGTAATCTTAGTATGGAAAACTTAAATTTATTAAAAACTAAACCCACACCTGTTGCCTTTGTTTACCTCTGAAAATCTCTAACAAACAGATCCGAGGACTAGATTATGGCACAGCAACTCCAGTGTCTGTGGAGCACATTCCCGGGGCTGCAGTCACAGCTCCACAACTCGGCTGGCCCCAAACATGGGCAACACTGGTTCCTGACAAAATAACTGAGATACTTACTGTCCAAGAGGCTCTGTACAGCACAAAAGCAATCAGATCAAAGTTGTCCCTGGAAACATTACATTCCTGTTTACTTGGAGTATCAATCCCATGTTGTATTGGAACACATGGCCAAGTATGGATAATGAAGAGCTGCCTGGGGAGCTTGTAGCACGGTGCCTGTCTCTTGAGCCTATGGTATATCTTTGACCATATGTTAATGTCTTTGTGTTCCAATACCCACAACATTCCACCTTCCACAATGTCAATATTATCTCTTAATATCTAGCAGATGTATTAAGCCATAGAATCGTAGAATCATTAAGGTTGGACAAGACCTCTAAGATCATCAAGCCCAACCATTAACCCACTACTGCCAAGCCCACCACCTAAACCGTGTCCCCAAGTGTCACATCTACATGTCTTTTAAATCCCTTCAAGAAAGGTGAATCCACCACTACCTTGGGTAGCCTGTTCTAGTGCTTGCCAAGTATTGCGGTGAAGAAATTTTTCCTAATATCCAATCTAAATGGTCCCTGGTGCAATTCAAGGCCATTTCCTCTCATCCTATCACTTGTTACTTGGAGGAACAGACTGACAGCTAAACAAGTTGATAAGACTGCAAGAGTTAAAGTGCCCACAGGCATAAAACCTGGCTTTGTAATACTCAAACAAACACACCAAAATCTAAGTTTCCTTAGGCTCTACAGAAAATAGGCTGCTAGAAGAAATCATGGAAGATAAAATAATAGCAGACAACTGCTGCAGTCATCTTCCTACTGCTTAAGGTACTTGGTTACATAAAGTTACATTTTAGACTTCTCAAATTGTATTTATTAGCTTCTTAAGATATAATGGGAGCAAAAAGTGTCCCTCTCTACCCATGATTCTTTTCTACAGAACTACAACCTGGATGCACAAAGTCATAATCCTTTTGTCTGTATATAGTAATCCATAGCTAGGAAAGAAGCCAGATGCCCTGAAAAAGTGACAGCTTGTGCAAAATACAGGGGACCATCTGCTTAACAACACAAGGTTTCACAAACATAGCATGTTGATACTCTGTTCTGTATTAGAGCCCCAGTAAACAGGACATTTAATTCAGTTCTTCATCTATGCAATCAAACTTCTTCATGAGATTATCTCTGTGATTTTCAAAGACTGCTTCTTCATGACCAAAATACAGCTACATCCCAGAAGAACCAGCCAGTGTTCAATAAATGATAATATGTAGTTCACACTACACAGTATGTATATGTAGTTGTGCAAAGGACCTCAGCAAACTATGGAGTTTAAGTTCTCTCTCTAACTGAATTAAGGATGACACAAAAATTTGTCAGAGATGTTATAACTCTATCTGTGACTTGAAAATGGTACCCCCCCCTTCCCAAGACACACCTAACCTAGCAATTAGCACCTAGCAAGTTTTCCTTAATAACTAAGTTAGATCTTGTTTTTGTAAATGAAGGGTTTTTTCTCCATGTTCTTCCTCTCCCCACAAACTTTTCACCATTCCCAAAAGAACCCACAATCCTCACTATTACAAAGAAATTCAAAGAAATACAACCTTCATTTGTATATCTTTTTTTGTAAGTATTTGTATTTTTGGTGCACCTAGATATTTATCAGTTCTCCACTAGAGAAGGCCACAAATTATACACACTGCATATGGAGAGTTTTTCTGAGGTATAAAGTCTTTCCTAACCTAATTCTAGTGCTTCAGCTGCAGAGAATATTTCATGCCTTTCTGCAATGAAATCTGTTGTAACACATTCATATTTTATGGCAGATAATGGCCACTGGAGACCATACGAAATAGAGGAAAAAGTATTTCTTCTTTGAAATGGAGTGGTATTTGTTAGCTTTACACATACAGACGTAACGGGACTTTTTTGTGCTCTAAAACCATTGCAAACCTACAGTAGCACAGGAAAAGTTAACAAAAAAGACAGACTTCTGTTGTGTCTTATTTTGCTTCGTGGTCTAGGTTCATACTGCAGGAAAAGTTAATCTTTCACAGTAAAACTCAGACAAAATGGTTACCTATAACATCATTTATAACAAGAAGAATACAGAATATTCGTAACAATGAACTTCAGACACTAATTGAAAATAATTGACAGCTATAATTTTGTTCTTTTTACATATCTGGCCATTCAACTCCAAACTTCTTTATTGATTCAGTGACTACTGCTACAAACTCTTTCCTACAACAGAGAGGAATTTCTCCCTTCTATTTGCCTAACCTTAAATCAGAAATCTAACACCTTTCTTACTGTATACTGAAATATGAAAACTGGGTATGGCTTGAAAAATCAGGAATAAAATACTGTATGTAAAAAGTACAGTTATTAGTAGATTCATATTGAAATTTCATCTTCACATACCTTTTCAAGCCAATAGGGAGATGTTAAAAATGTAGAGGATCCAAAATTTTCTCCTGCATAGGGTGATGGGTATGGGTGTGGTAAATTTAGTCCCAAATAAAGAACAAATGGTTGAGTAAGGTTAACAGCTTCTTCCTTTATCCAGTTTACTGCTTTATCAGTATTCCGCCAATCTGCTTCCATCACTCTAACCCGCTTCCTATCACCTGTAAGATTTACCATGGGTCTCCCTTCTTGCCGGAGCAGGAAGTGAACATCCCTAGTCCAAGCTTCCACACGGTTACTGAAAATACATACACAAGATACATACTCAGCAGAAAATGTTTTCTTCACTTTTCCTCCAAGCAAAAAGCATTATGAATTCCTGAAAACCTTTCCTATACTTTTAGCTGCAATCTATCTGTAATTCCTACCTAAAGGAAAATTGTTATTCAATTGAGCTATAGTTATTGTGCCTCTATTTTATACTCCAACTTTCAGCCTTTTTTTCCTGCTTCTGAATCTTCTTTCTTATTTATTATCACTTCATGTCAGAAAGGCTCTTCTCACATCTAAAGAATAATATTTAGAAATAGCATCTCCATCTTATTGACACTGCTCTGCATTCCGGCATGGATTCACATGCTATTTTTTTGGTAAGGAGGGCCTTAGATTTTTGTTATTGAAAAGGATTCAATGAGAAATAACTTGCCCGGTGAGGCTGCCTTTAGAAACAACATTTTTAAACACACTTAAGACAAAAATCTGTAAGAGTGATTTATCTTGTTCATTTACTTAAATGTAGTTGATAAATGCTATTGAGGAGAAGCATGCAGAGAAAGCAAGAAGGGGGGGGAAAAAAAGGCAGTATTTTAATGATAAAATACTTTTGGAACAGATTTTCTAATGCCATGACAATTATTACCTCTCCAAAACACTGGGAAATCTGAGTTGCAGATGTCCTTGTTTCTTTGCTAGAATGAATGATGCTACAACTGAGGGAGGAAACAGCCCATCTACGACCTTGACTAATCTTTATCTTGTTCATGGCAATTTCAGTAAAACTAAAGAAATTCTAAAAGGAAGTATGAAACTGCTGAAAATTTGATCATACACTTAAATCCAAACAAAGCACTATTATTGTTTAGAGAGCACCTAACCAGTTTTATCCCCACAGGAATTTTACCAGTGCACTTTTAACCTCCAGAAAAGCTATTCAGAATTATCTGTAACAATTCTTTTTTGTTTTAACTTCTTGTTTAGGCTCACACTTCCAAGCTAAACAGGCTTAAACAAATTACTTAAAATAAATAAAGGTTGCTAGATGGTCCACAGAGAAAGCATGTTGCACAAACACTGAAATGAAATTATGGTAAAGGAGTGCATGTGTAAAATTGCATCTAATGACATAATACTGACTTAAACATAAAAACATATTATGTAGACCATAAACCAGTCAGATTATCCAGTCAGACTGAGATTAGGATCAAATTAAAAGAACAAAATCCTCTCAAAACTGAAAAACAAAAAAATCCCCCCCAAAAACTCAACCCAAACCCAAAACCAAAAAACCAAACTCAAAAACCCAATCCAAACCAAAACCACTCCCACAAAAAAACTCCAATAAAATCCCACTTCAGACCCTTTCCACATTCTGGAGCAACAAAGGAGTCATTCTGACACATCCAAGAGGAAAACTAATCCTCAGGCAGAACAGGACATGCCAAAATAAGGCTCTTCAAAAAGTCAGGTGGAGTACTGAAAAAGAGTGCAATACTAGATCCAAATCTACAGTTTAAAATGAAAGAGCAAGGACTTGACAGATAATTATTTAAGACCTTTGGAAGTTAATGTCAATTTTCCACTTTTTCAATGGGAATGAAAAGAGATCACATCTCCTTTGATAGCAGATAGTACTCCAGTGATTGTAACAAATATACAACCAAAAAAAGCCATATATAAAGGATATAGCAATGTAACATTGAAGACACAGCATAATGAACTACCATCACTATTGACCCAAATGAAAGTGACTACATGAGAGTCAGTAATTACACTTATTTTAAGTGAAATAGCCATCAATACTCAAAAGCATACATGGAGTCTTTTTGACAGGAAGCAGAGGTTTGATGTATACTACAGTCCAGAGGCTGAAGATTCAGTTCTTTCACTGTGTTAGTATATATTTCCTAGAAACCCTCTTCTCCAAATCTCATTAATTCACAACTATGAAAAATTATCTTTTGAGCAAGTCACATTCAAGTGGCTCCTTTTCATTATACATTTGTATTTTTAAGATACGTAAACTTCCATAGTTAGAGAGATGATTTGTGTTAGCAATTAACTATTCGCAATAGGTTAGAACAAAGTAGAATTGATTTATGTCACCTAACCTGTTGAAGCAGAAAAGTGAACAAGTTTTTTTTTACATAGGTAAATATGGGACTAGGGAGCAGAAGTGGTTTTATTGTCCAAAGAAGCAACATATATGCTTAAGAAAAATTTCTAAAGAGATAATACTGCCTGCCTATGTCCCTTTGTTAGTCTCCCTTTTAACAGGAAATTAAAACAGCAGGACATTTTAATTATCTCCACAACAAACAGGAATCTTTGTTATAAGTCCTCTACACTGTTGAGAGATTACCGGCTACTTAGGGTTTTCAAATGTCTACACAGACGCCATGCTGGGAACAAGATGTGCACTTTTCTCTGACTGAGGAATTGTATTTGTAGTTTTCATTTTTTAGATTAAAGATGTTGTAAACTGCCATTTTCAAATTTGTCTTGTGTAGGCATAAAAAGGCAGACTAACTATGGGTTTATTTTCATTTATTCTCAACCACTACCTGCACTTATTCAAATAACATTAAGTACAGATCTCAAACTTTCACTGAACGGAAAGTCAAAACAAACGTATAAAAAGTTTGTAGTAGGCGAAAAGGTAGGGTCAAGACATAGAAAAAAAAGATAATTGAAAACTGCAATACCATAGACTTCACAGTATTTTCCTATTATTTCTGAAGTGCCTAAATTTAGCCTCATGGGACTAAGACTTATGCAAACATGATGTCATTATATGGTTATATCATAATTTCTGTTTGTGAGACTCAAACCCTATCACTGAAGTAGATACATCCCTACATGCCAGAATGAGGAACATAAAAGCACACCAATGTAACTCCACTGATACTGATCTGCGATTTTGAAAAGCACTGAACTGGTTTAATTTGTTTCTCATCTGTAAAGACTCATGACAAAATTAGAATTTAGAATAATACAATGAGAACTATGCAAATGTGAGAGTACCAGACATAATGAGAGCAAGCTTAAAGCACCAATAGTGAGGGAACGTGAATGACATCAGCAAAACAGATCAGTACTGAAGAAGGGGATTTCAATGTTAAGATCACTGTACAGATGATGGGTCAGCAGCATTCTGACAGTAGAATGGCAACCAGTTCATCGTGCACTCTGTATGCCATTTCTCTTTCTGTTATTCGAATGAGAAGAGTAAAATAGGATAGCCGTAATAAGTTAACAAAAAGGGTATTTGCCTAATGTTCCTGTAGACTAAAGCCACCAAGATTTCATGTTAAAATATCACACCGTATCAACTTCTCACTCCACAAAGTGTAAAATACCTAGGCAAAACGCCATTTCATCACTGCCGATCAACACAAAAATAGGAGAGATCTCATCAGGTGACATCAGTTACCCTATGACATGCCAGAAATCCTGTTCAGACTATTTGAACATGAACTAGTATTTGTATGTTTGTGGCTATGAGATTGTGAGCTGGCACACTTTACCAACATAAAAAAATTAAGCAACATAAAAATTACATTCCTCTTCTATATAGTCTTACATTACAGTTTTCTTTGCATTATTTCTTACACAATAGAATTTATTTGAGAACTAAGGAGTATCTACTTGTTCAGCTTCGCACACCTCAGTCTGGAGTCAGAGTTCACCTATGATGGCTGACAATGAAAGCACTACTTCTAGAATCCAGGCACTTACATACAACTTTATTTCAGTGCCACCTCGTGTTCCACTTATCACATGAACAGTCACGAAATTCTAGAATTATTTAGAGCTGCTCTTCTTTAAACCTGGAGTGACTTTATAGATTAAACATATTTCAATGTTATGTTACATTTCTTCTATCTCAGTGAAGGGTAGGGTGAATGTATACTAGTAGTATTTAGGCAACACAGAATTTTCTCTGCACAAAAGTGATTCAGAAGAGAAGTACAAGCGTATGTATATTACAGCAGATAATTTTCATTTGTTGGGTAATATTACTTTACTAAAAATCAATTCTAGAAATGCTGGAGCATGATTCACCCACAGAATCTTTTGTCTTGCTTCATTACACAGAACAAAATCTGTCCCTTTGCCATCTCAAAGAATCATCTCTTACTGGCACTTTACAGTATGCTCTTAAGACTATTTTGAAAAGTATGAATGCCTGAGATAGTCACAATAATCTCTATGCTACAAATATACAAATACCCATAAGCAACCATCTTAATGTTGTTTCTTGCCAGAGAGAAGAATTTCGCAACATTCATACCAGGAGACACAAAGAATAAGAACAATACTGCAATGGATAACTTTCTAGCACTTTATACCTTGTTTCTCACCAGAAAGAATAAATAAAATCGAGAAAAATGCAGAATAATGAAAAAAAGAACAGAGGTTGAACACCCATCTGATAATAATCATATGCTAAGTTATTAAGAAGAGCTGCAGACAGTGACAAGTAAGAAGCATAAGAAACATACAAATAAGTACACTCTCTGGTAAAATAAGTAAACATGAAGGTTTTGCTGTAAGTCATTTGAATAATCCCTTACTGCAGCACAGAACTGGTATACAGAAAAATGGAAAAAAAGCTTGCTTTTTTCTTTTTTGACAGTCTTAAACTTGAGAGGAAAGTATTACTTTGGCCAGATTCTGAAGTGGATACTATCTATCAAGTATTTTGTCATTAAAAGCAGTGTATACATAGAACATACTAATAACTACTAATGTCACCTTCCAACTTCTAACAGTTCATTTTATTGAGGGAACTCTTAACCTGTTTAATATAAAAGAAAAAGCTACTCTTTATATTATTTCAACAACAGACATCATTACTAATCAGTGATATATAGCATCTTCATAAAAACTACATAGAAGGAAGACACCATTTTTTGTCCTAGCTATCCAGACATATTATGATTATTCTTTTTTTAACATAATGCACTTATTCTCTAAATGTTTAACTATGTTTCATTAATTTTTGTAATTCCTAGTCACAGTAAGCTTTAAAGTATAGGAAGTACAGTTCTACTGGTTTTGCATGGTAAGGTTTTGGTAAGAGGGGGCCTACAAGGGTGGCTACTCTGAGAAGCTGCTAGAAACCTCCCCCATTTCAGACAGAGCCAATGCCAGCCAGCTCCAAAATGGACCCACCACTGGCCAAGGCCGATCCGATCAGCAACAGTGGTAGTGCCTGCAGGATAACATATTTAAGAAGGAGAGGGGAAATCTGCACAGCATCAGCAGCCAGAGGAGATGTGAGTGCATCCTGTGAAAGGGACCCACAGTGGAGCAGTTCGTGAAGAACTTCAGCCCATGGGAAGGAATTGGAGAAGTGTGTGGAGGACTGACTCCTGCGGGAGAGACCTCACACTGGAGCAGAAGAATGTGAGGGCTCCTCTCCCTGAGGAAGGAAGGAGAGGGAGAGACAACATATGATGAACTGAGCACAGTCTGCGCTCCCTGTCCCCCTGTGCTGCTGAGGGGATTAGGTACAGAATTTGGGAGCGAAGTGATCCTAGGTAGAAGGGAAGGGTGGGGGAAGGTGTTTTAAGATTTGGTTTTACTTCTCATTGCCTTGTTCTGAATTCTAATTGGCAAAAAATTAAATTAATTTTTCTGAGTTAAGTCTGTTTTGCCTGTGTGCCTGAGTGATCCCTCTATATCCTTATTTTCAGCATTAAGTCTTCCATTATATTTTCTCTTCCCTGCCCAGATGGGGAAGGGCAGTGATGGAGCACCTTTGGTGGGCACCTGGTGTCCATCTAGGGTCAACCCACCACAACAGCACAAATCTGTGAACATTTATGGTCTTCAAAAAAACCCCACAAAACCTCTCATGTTTTGTGATGATAGATTTAATATTAAATTATTATAATTATGGTTTTTTGTTCTGCTTTTCTTACACTGCTAGTACAACACAGAAGCCAGGAAGTCTCAAAGCAAGGCAGAAACAAAGTCTCAAAGCAAGGCAATTTATGAATTTCACTTAGGAAGCAATACCAGTGATAAAAAATAATCATTCATGTTGGGCAAAACCAGTTTTGATATCACCTTCCACATACAGGTCCATGGGATATGCTTGCTTCTGCACAAAGCTGCAGGACAGATCCCTGTTAGGTATCTAGCACAATTTCTTTTAAATTAAAGCTACTACTATTTCAATCAGAGATAGAAATCACGTAACAGATCATTACATGGTTTGTTCACTACTGTCCATTTCATAGCAGAAAAATCTATCTGATTACCTAACTGAATGATGTCCAGAAGTATAGTCCAATTTCCCAAACTTCTGTGTGTGGTAGCCATGCTTCTCCATGAGATCCATCCATGTTAAGTAACCTGGATCTAGACCTTTGAAGTTATTCCAAGATTCTGTTAAATGGGTGAAAAGACCACTCCACATAGCTGGGGGAAAAAAATAAAATTTTGATGAGTAATTGGTACCCCCTACCTGTATACTTGAGGAGGGATTAATCTTCTTATTATTACAGAGGTTAGAAGTCCACATTGTGATCCAATAGAGCAAGAAATACAAAGTATTACTCTTTCAAATTTTGTCATAATCAATATAAGTAACAAAATTTACTCAAATAATCCCCAGAACTGCAGAAGGTCCTATCCTTCCAGGTGCTAAGCAATCACTAAGTCAAGGTTTTCTTAGACCAGAAAATATTCTTATTGATTTCTGAAAGAAAATGGCATGGTAGTACAGATCCCCATCCAACAGTCCTCTACTTACATGTTTTTCAGATTATTATTTCCCATTACAACAGTCAGATTTTAATATGAGTTTAGGTATATTTGTGAAGGGAATGAGAATATTTTCATAAATACCATATGTCCTCAATTTTATCCTTTTTAGGTAATGTGCTTCACTAGCAGCTGCAGAAACAAAGTGAGAATATTTAAGATACCAAGAAGAAATGAAACCAAGGGAAGAGTTGCAAAGGAACTATAAGGGAAGATTGTTTTAGTCAATACCTATTTCTTTGCTGCTTATTGAGAATTGTTCACTCTTTCACTCACTAATTTAGAGTTAAAGGGAATCCTAAAATGAAACTCAGCCATTCCACAAGCAATAAAAATATCCTGTAAGCATAGTGCATCAACCCCACATGGCAATACTCCTCTTTCCCCACCCCAAAGTCCTCTTTCCCACCATGTCTTCTGGTATCATCCCCAACACCTCCATATGAGATGTACCCTCACTTCCTTGCAGCTTTTTGTAAGCCACTGGCTAAACAAAAGCTGTCCTGCTGGTTCAGAGCCCCACATGTGATGACTGACCAGTGGCCACAGCCACCCAAAATGCTACACAGTCTTCATCACTGGGAGCAATAGCTGCCATATTCACAAAACTTAATAAGATTAAATAACACAAAGCTATTGCTCTCAGCAACAAAAATTGGCTGAAAGATACAAAAATCAAGAAAAATAAAAAAAAGCCTGTTTGTTCATGTAACCTCGCCCACTTAAAATGGGACCTTGAGAAAAAGGTTATCAATAAAGTGAACACTAAAAATGTAAAACTATATTTGACAGCCTTTGCCTGCTGTTTCTTCCAGTGTATGCTTTGAGAGAAAGGATCCCCCTCACGGCTACAGATGAGAGAGGGTCTTTGCAACTGAAAGGACTAGACACATTTTAAGATTGAGGAATACAGTTTCTTTCTATCTTCCCAGAAAATTCTGCAACTAAAATTGAACAAAGAAAAACAAGTGCATTAAGTAAAGAAAAATCCTGAAGAATTCAATTAAAGCTACTGAAAGATTCATCATGTATCTAAAAGTATGTTTGGAATAAATGTCATTGGAAGACAGTGATAACAGCCACCACTTTATTCAGCTATCATTATTACTTTTTGCCAAGAACAGGAAAGATATTTATTAACTTTGTATTGGAATGGGAGAGTAGTTCTGAGTGTAGTTTCAGCATTGCAGCAGACAAATCAATGATTTCGCTACAAATCCTGAAGATTTGTTTAGCCTGAAGAAGAGGAGGCTACAGGAGACCTCATCACTCTCTACAACTTTCTGAAAGGAGGTTGTAGCAGGTGGGCATCAGTCTCTTCTCCCAGGCAACCAGCAGCAGGACAAAAGGTTATGGTCTTAAGCCCTGCCAGGGGAGGTTTAGGTTGGATATGAGGAAGAAATTCTTTACAGAGAGAGTAATTAGCATTGGAATGGGCTGCCCAGGGAGGTGGTGGATTCACCATCCCTGGAGGTTTTTAAGATGAGACTGGATGTGGCACTTAGTGCCATGGTCTAGTAACCACCTGGGTGTTGGATCAAGGGTTGGACTTGATGATCTCAGAGGTCTTTTCCAACCTGTCTGTGATTCTATGATTTTTTAAAAATTTGAAGCTTCAGTGGAGTTTGCGAAAAGATTTGGGAGGTTACACTTACCTGAAAAAAACAGTACAAAAAATGAAAAGAAAGGAGGAAGCATAAGCAACAGGAAAGAGAAACAGATGAAACAGGAGAATACTGTAAAAATTCAGACATAAACTAGAAAATAAAAGGAAAAACAAAACAAGTCCCCCTCAATTAAAAGTTTTGACATTTCCCATCATTACCACATATTTAAATTGACATGTGCAAGCATTTATCTGATGTTTTGCTTGCTTTTACCTGCACGCGAAGGACAACAAATTGGAGAATTGGTATAGGCATTGAGAAAGACAGTGCCATATCTTTTCATAAAATTTATGGAAGGTAAATCCACAGTCTGATTTCCTGGAAAAAATGTCAAGCGTCCATCCTGCAATCAGAGAAAAACAACATATAAACAACCATTACCACAAACTATTGGCTGCATTAATTCACAGATTTGTTACTGTAGTGGGTTTCTGTGGCTCGATTTTGGTCTGGGGGGGAAAATACAGGGGTGGCTTCTGTTAGAAGCTGCTAGAAGCTTCCCCTGTCCCATGGAGCCAGTGTCAGCTGGCTCCAGGGTGGGCTTCCTTCCTCTGGCCAAGGCCAAGCCAATTAGGAGTGACAGTAACACCTCTGTGATAACATAGTTAAGAACAGAAGGTTGTTGCACAGGAAGAATTCCAGCCAGGGAAGAGCTGCGTGAGAACATGTGAACGACAATGCAGCAACAAGGTCAGTGCAGAAGGAGGGGCAGGAGATGCTCCAGGTGCCAGAGCTGAGGCCCCTGCAGCCCGTGGTGCAGCCCATGGAGGACCATCAGGGTACAGAGACCCACCTGCAGCCCCTGGAGGAGCCCATGCTGGAGCAGGTGGATGCATGAAAGGAGGCTGTGACCTCGTGGGAAGCCCAAGATGGAGCAGGGTCCTGCTGGAGACCTGCAGCCCATGGAGAGGGTAGCCCACGCTGGAGCAGGTTTTTCCCAGGTAGGACTTGTGGCCCCTGTGGGGGACCCACATCAGTACAGCTCATTGGTGAAGGACTGCAACCCATGGAGGAGTGACCCACGGGAAGCAGTTTGGGAAGAACTGCTGCTCGAGGGATGGACTCACGCTGGAGAGACCCATCAAGGATTGTCTCCCGTGGGAGGGACCCCACAGGAGCAAGGGAAGGACTCATGTCTCTGAGCAGTGGCAGAAACAACAATTGACCATAACCCCCATTCCCCGCCCCCCTGCACCGCTGGGGGGGGGAGGGAGAACATGGAATGAAGGAGGGGTGGGGGGAAGATGTTTTTAAGATTGTTTTATTTCTCAATCTTTGATTCTTACCCTGTTAGTAATAAATTTAGGTAACACCACCGCTTTGAGCCTGTTTTGCCTGTGAAGGTAATCAGTATCTGATCTCTCCCAGCTGTTATCTCAACTAATGAATCCTTAGCTGTTTTTTTTCTCTCTCTCTCCTCTGTCCAGTTGCAATGGGAGAGTGAGAGAGCGGCTTTAGTGGGTACCTGGCATCCAGGTACCCGGCTAGGGTCAACCCACTAGTTACCCTGAACTTGCTTAAATGTTGCCATTTCTACTCAGGTATGAAAAATGGTGCTGAGAAGCTTTAATTAAATCAATATAAAAAGGATTACTTATGAAAAAGTGCAACATAAAAGATAACTGGGCTTCTTCATAGTAAAATTAATTCCTTTCCATCACTATACATTTTCTAAGCTCCAGTTTTAGGGAGTAGGGTCCTACATTCAATGAGAATAGGTACAGTGAAAGATGACAAGGAGTCAAGCTGAATCCTAATACAGATGTGTGCATTAGCATATATTTCTATGAAACCACTCCTGATCCCTCATCATTTTTAAAGGTTTATCCACAGCACAACTCCGAACTTATTTTAACCTACGTACTGGAAAAGTGCTGAGAAAGCTGAAGAAAGGCTATTCTCCCACTGAAATGCCACGCACAGTGGTTCCCTTATGATACTTGCATATTGATAATTTAATTTACACCTTTTGTTTAGATAAAGTTTTTAACCAGTAATTTTAAAAAGACAAAACATTTCAAATAGGTACTTTTACAGTAAAAAGTTATAATCACTTGAAACCAGGTTGCATGCAGATTGCTCTATTTCAGGTCATTGTCCTTTTGAGTCACTTTTATTCCTTTCCTTTCCAGTCACTTTATTCCTTTCCTTTCCTATCCTGGTTCAGTAAGATGTCCCAACACAGTCCAAGCCTGACTGGCTCTTCAGTGTACAGGCAGGTGACAGCGAACCTGCACAGTTTTAACTGCAGAAGAAAGCAATTCCCTCCATACATTTTCTGCCAGAAATACTCTGGGATAACATGGCATAGTAGAGAGAGTCACTTCATTTGGCATCAGTAGAGCTAACTGTGGCACCTCAGCCTCTGAAATCAGAACATGACAAACAAGTCATCACCTAATTTTGTACACTGCTACAAAAGGCAACTAGAACAAGCACTCAGTAGGACAAACTGGAAGTAAAGCTGTAATCTGCAACAGGAACTTGAAAGAAATTTTGGGCTGAAAGTACTCTTCGGAAAGTTGTCCTGGTTCCAGCCAGGACAGGGCTAATTTTTGCCGGAAGGGGCATGGCTAGGACATGGAGGTTATTTTATATTACCTCATGTCATTTTCTGAAAAGGTGTCCCTTCTGGGTGAGGGTAGCATGGTAGCAGTATTGTTGGGCTCCAGTATTGTCTGCATGGTACAGGGGTGAGCATTCACATGTGAATCGCTCGCCTCTCTGGTACTGTCTCTTACTAATATTGTTGCTGTTACTGTTAGATTCCTTATCTCACTGCTGTTTCCAGCAAATTGTTCTTATCTCAACCCATGATGTTTACCTTTTGTGCCTCCAGTTCTCCTCTCCAGCCCACCACAGAGAGAAGGCAGAGTGAGCAAGCAGCATGTGGTTTGCAGTGCATACCATTCCTAAACCGTACAAAAGTACACAACTGATGCATAATCCCGTCAACAATATATTCTTAAGTTTCTTCAACAGTTTGCACAGCTGGAGATAAGAGTTCATTATATTGATACTGTGACACAATATTCAGTGAGACATTAGCAAAAGAATTCTGTATACTTTGTGTCATGGTATACTTCCTATACTGAGACATGATGACTATTTCTATAGGTGATGCAGGTATTCAGTGAAAGTTCTGTTCCTGAACAGGCTGAGAAGCTCATCAGCTATTTCTGGAAACTTGCCCTCTAAGAATTAGGTAGCATTTGCAGGTTTTGACATACCTAAGGAAATAAAATTGTTTTAACACAAACAAGCACATTTAATCCAGGAATTTGAGCAGCATTGCAAGCAAAGCCTCACATCATCCAGTTTACTTCAAGTAGCAATTCAGGAGCCGAATTGCTAGCACATTCCTCCAGGAAATGTGCAAAAAGCACAATGCCTGATGTGACACAGCAGCAGAAAGCTGGCTGTTCAAGCAAAAGGTCACTGTTCAGGAGGCCAAACACAGTCTAGCATCACTGAAAAGAAAACTTTTGTCACACTTGACAACATAGGTGTGCATCTTTCATAGGCAGCATGACCCACAACAAAAGCAGGCACACTTTCTAATGAAAGCCCAGACATTTCAACAGCTTGCAAGACTTAACCTCTTTTTTCCAGAAAAACTGTTCGTTTCAACAGTACCTGTTCTCTACTAGTGATGTAATGAAAATGGTTAATCTATTAATCTATGCCTTCAAATTCATCTCAGAAAAAAAACTTACACAACACAACCTTCAACATATTCTTTGTATGCACCATGTAGACATGACACTTTCCAAAAACAGCACTTTGTTCTTGATCGTTTATGTAAGAATTTCAAAACATCTGGGATTTTACATTTCTTTTTTGTAAGGCTTACCTCATTAATCCCTGTAATATAGTCATGAAAATATTCCTGTTTACAGGTGACATAGACAAGTATAACTAAGACTTGTCTGCAGCTTCTGCTAGTATCTGGAGACAAAAATGGACATTGACCAACCCCAAGGACCATAAATATTGTAAATTCAACTACTGGTAAATAAGAGTTTTAGTAAAAGCCGAACATTTGGAGAAAAAGCATGCATTACTTTGCAATTTTAAGAGAGATTATATACTCAAAATAAAATAAACAAAGAATACAGTCACAGAAAGTCTATACAGAGCTATTGCATTAGTAAACAAGAAGCTATTTCTTTATCTTTGAAATCACAGTGTATGTCTTTTAAGATAGGGTTTGAAAAAAGATAATACACATTTACCAAATATTTAGGAAGAATTCATCCCAAGAAGCTCAGGCAGCAGGCAAGAAGTCAAGTGTTCTGTGCAGTCAAGGATGGAATTCTGAGAAGGCCAGGAATCAAGACTTCTCAACATTGAATGAGAAGTGATGAGATATGAGGAAGTAATACCACAGAGCTTATGTTTGATTCCATAGTAAGGAGAGCTCATATGAGGCAGAGAAACCAAGGCTCCTCAGAGTAAAACTTACATCAAAGCACTTCCAGTGTGCTGTGTGGACAATTAGAAGCATGGTGAGAAAAGTGTGAAAAATGTGCTGTCTTTAGGTGTGTCCAAGGAAACATACTTAGTATTAGTTAGTGGAAAAAAAAAAAAAGTCTTTTCTACCTGTCTGGGTGTTAAACCAAATGCATCAATAAATCACTGTAATGAAGCCACTAGATACCTACTGATTCTTCTATTCTTTTAGCTGTAGATATACGTCTGACAAGTTTATTGTGTTGTTATACCTTATAAGGGCCTGAGTAAATCAACAGTCAGTCATTTCATCTGTGAATACAGAAATTCTCTATCTCATCTCTTGAGGAGACCTAGTGTTCTTATGATTTACAATAGCAAGGATAACACGGTTTAAAGTGACTTTCTTTTCGGCTTTACAAGTCAACAGAAGAGCATTCACTTTACACACCAGCTCTGCTCCAGTAGCAGCTGCCGTGCCCTGCAGTACTGCTGACATGCCCCTCTCCACTCCAAGTTGTGGTGACAAGCTGTACGTATCACACTAGACCGGAGGAACCACCTGTGCAGAGGTTTCTGACTATTGTAATGAATCAGATGAAAGCATGGAACACATTCCTGGAAGAAAGGCGACTTTGGTTTGAAACACTAAAGGTTACCGAGTGTCTCTGAGACACAGCGGGCCTGCCCTCGTAGTCCCAAGCGAGACTTCCGCCCCGCGGAGGTGCTGGAGAGCTAAAACCAGCCTCGTTGGCGCACGCCTGTGGCTCTAGCCTGGATAAGGCACCGGTATGGCTTCGGTGCCGCATCCTCGGCGGCACCACTCGGGCCGCTGCCGAGTGTTTTCCCGCCCTTCCTCACCCGTGCGGCGGCCCAGCCCCGCGCCGCCGGGCTGCCCCCTTTCCCGGCCACTCACCAAGGAGTCGCAGGCCACCAGCACCACGCTGGACCGGGGCTGGCCCCCAGGAGCGGCGGGCCGCGGCCTCGCCCCCGCCCCGGCGGCCATGAGGAGCAGCGCCAGCCCGGCTCGCCCCAGCGGCTCTACGCCCCGCATTGCCCCGCCACCCTGGCCCCCGCTCCCCGACCGAGAGGAGCAGCAGCTCCGAAAGCAGCTCCCAGGGCCCCGGTCGCAGCGACGGACTGGACACCGCCGCACCGCGGCCTACAACTCCCACGGTGCCCCGGGGCGGCAGACTGACTACATCTCCCAGGATGCCTCATGAGGCGGGAACTATATCTCCCACAGTGCCCGAAAAAAATGGCGGTTGACTGGGTGTATCGCAATCCTGAGGTAAGAGTGCGCCTGCGCGCGGTCGGCCGTGCCAAGTGGCGGCGGCGCTGGTGGGTGAAGGTGAAGCAGAGGGGGTGGCGAAGGGTCGTGGTGGCGGTGGTGGCAGCCCGGCTTAGTCTGCCGCGGCTTTCCCTGCCGCGGCTTTCCCTGCCGCGAGGGCTGGCGGCCCTGCCTGCGGCCCGCGAGCGGCTGCGCTTGGAGGGACTGCGGGCGCGGATCGGTTCCCAAGGCGCCCCGCAGGCCCAGGGCCCCGCCCGCGGCCCAGGTTGGGCGGCCTTGCTCCAGGGACTGACCGCCTCCGCGGTGCCAGGCTTTGCGCTGAAGCAACGTGTATTTTCTCCGTAGGTGGCAGTGGGGCTCCTGCTGGACAGTGCCCGCGGCAGGGTGCGGTTTTGATGAGGGAGACGTCAGTGCCTTCGTAAAAGCAAATTTATCTCCAGGAGCTGCTGAGCAATGCAAGTTCAACAGGTTTCTTTTTAGATTTTAAAGGAGTCTTGGAAATTCGCTCTTATCCCATGTCCTTTCATTACTAAATTAACACTAGACCCTTCAACCATTCTTTACTTCTACTTTTCAGCTGCTAAAGAAGTTTTTTTGTTCTTCGTCTGGTCACCTTTCCCATCTCTTTTGGTGCTAGCACCAGCGCTATTGTTTCTCAGCATCATCCCACCTAGGTAGCTTTGACTGTGGTGTTTCTACAGTTCATGTAAGGCAAAATATTTACCACATACACTGAAACAGTGCATGATTATTGGAGTTCAAAAGCATGATGTCTCTTTGATGTGTCCTGAAATACTTATTCTTTTTCGATTCATGGCTGTAGTCAGAAGCAGAATCTGGAGTAAGAGTGTGTCAAGGGAGAAGACCATGGTGAGCCACACCAGAGCATGACAGGCTGGCCATGGTGCTGCTGTAGAGAGCATGCAAGAAAAGCCCTGCTCTGATCCTTAGCAATCCTTTAAACACATATGCAGGGCAATATGCTGCTTAAGTGCAGTTTGCTGATTACTTTCTTTTATAAAGAGGAATAACTGTATGCAGGATGCTTTTCTCATAAGTCTAATGAAGGCCTCTTATAACACCTCTCCTCCTACTTAAATTTATCTTAACCTGTAACAACAGTTTCATTCTGGGGTAGCTACTTTGTATCATTTAACTGTTTGGAATATTGAGGGTATCCTATCTTGGAGCTAAACCTGAGTAATTTTACCCATGTTATTTTTTTTTATCAGGTGTTAGTGCTGTATGCATTTTAGCATATTACACTATATTTCTGTGTTTAAAATGCTCTCTATGCAATTGCAGTAGGATATAAACATTTTGTATGTTTCAGTATATCTTTTTACGGGAACTGATTATGTGCCTTTTTTATTTAGCAACCACAATGTCAAATAAAGAGGTGAAAGCAGCATTAAAGAGTGCTAGAGATGCAATACGAAATAAAGAATATAAAGAAGCCTTAAAACATTGCAAGGTAATGAATTTTTTTACTTGGAAGGTAAATATTTTGCAGGGTTTTTTTTCTCTTCCCATATCCCTACAGCTGTATGGTCCTGCTAAGCATGGAGTACTTTACTGATATAACATTTGAGATGGATTTTCAGATTTAACTTCATTGATCATTCGTGTTAGTTTCCCATGCATAAGCTTTAATTCCTCTTCCTTTTGCATTTGCTTACATGTGGTGATAAGAGTATTAAATCTAGAATGAGAGAAATAGAAATCAGTTTGTAATCCAGACCTCACAAGAGTGCTTAAATTGCTAAGCTACAGATATGGTTACTAGCAAAACACTTCAGATATAAAGCATTTTCTGGCATGAAAAGATGAAATTACTAATCTTAGTGTCTTCCTAAAAATTACTTAACTTCTAGGATTGCCATATAGAATAATTCTCCAAACTGTAGTGATAAAATGCAATACCTGGATCTATAAGTTACATTTCTCTCATCAGTTTCACTTAAAATTGTGTAACTCTAGGCAGTCTTGAAGCAAGAAAAAAATAATTACAATGCTTGGGTATTCATTGGCCTGGCAGCTGCTGAGTTAGAGCAACCTGATCAGGCCAAAGGAGCATATAAGAAGGCTATTGAACTTGAACCAAACCAGTTACTGGCATGGCAGGTACGTGAATGTCTATTTTTTATTTCCCTAAAAAGGGTCACTATGGAGTTCAAATAAAGGAACAAATCAGAGTTAAGACTTTTATCTTCTTTTCTTGAGGCCCTCAGTTCCACAGAAGCTTTGAAGTAGCTGAGGTTCATATTACTTGTGTGTGCAATGTAAAGCCGTGGTGAACTTAAGTTTCGGTATATTTGAGTTTGTATTTCTTGTGTAGACTACACAGCTGTGCAACATGTAAGGGAAAACATGAATTGAAACAAATACAGTAAATTTGTTGATGTAAAAATTTCCTTGCTTGTAGCTCAAGAAACCTTTGACAGTGCTCCTCTTATGGGAGATAAAATGTTTTATCTAGTAATATAGTTTTCCACTTTTCAGCATCAAGTGGATTGTTAATGAATTTTGTTGATACTTAAAAGCAGAAGTGTATGTCTAAAATAGCTATGTGCTGAGTGGTGTGTACATTACAGCCTATTACAATATGGAGTTACAACATACAGTTGTGTAATTTGGAGATTTGTGAAGCATAATGTTGCTCATTGAGTCTATTGCTTATATCAGCAATCAGTGTTTTTCTAAGGTAATCAGGTTCTTAGTGTTTTCAGTATAAATACTATTTTCAAGTATAATTGTTGGGGCCGGAATTCAGTGTATGTTGAAATTTCCTCCCTTTTGCAGTCAGGTTCTGGCTTTCTTGTTACAATACTTGGGTATATATATGTATATATATATATATATATATATAATATTTTTTGCATATTATATCGATTTTATCATACAGCCAAGTGTACTTTGCATATTACCTATTGTGCAGACAAGATCATGTAATATATTTAAGTTCCAAAGAGTTGCTTTTATTAGTTAAGAAAGTGAGGAAAGCTTTTCACTTAATATGAGTAGAATTCAGAAGGTTATGCAGAATTCTGCTCAGCAATTTTTACATTAATATTTGACTCCATTTTAGGCAATGGAATAATTTTTATAGGCACAACTGGTAGTGGTCTCATAGTGCATAACCACTGACGTAAAATTTTACTTATTTTTTTGCTTTTTTTTAAGGGATTAGCAAATTTATATGAGAAACCCAACCAAACGGATGTCAAAGGAGACTTAGCAGATGTTTACCAAAAACTCTTGGAACTCTACAAAAGGTAAAGGACATTAAATGCCTTAGTTCAGTCTAAGATTTATAGTTTAGTGAATGCCATTGCTGATATACAGTACAGACTTTGATTTTTTTTTTTAAAGCCTTGGTCAGCACTTTTAAAGTGTTTAAAGTGCTTTTAAAGTCAGTGGGTCAGCACTTTTTACTAAGGTTTTCTCTACCAAATAAGGTTTCTTGTTTCTTCACTTTTGGTTGGGCAAAAACTCTTAGTTAAATTGGACCTGAGATTAGTAGTTTAGCGAATTCCTTATTATCCTATTACTGTGTAAACTCACTACCTTGAAGCATTTAGCTCTGATTGTTCATTGCCTCCATTAATAAATAGGCTTATTTTTCTCTGCTTTAAGATCACACAGTATATGTCATCTGACTCAAAGAGATACAGTTCTAAACAAATTTAACTCAACCATCACTTTAACTGACAGAAGTGTTCAGCTTGTTTGCTTTATTTGAAAATTGATCAAAAAGAAATGTACAGTCCTTAAAAGTATTTTTTTTTCTTATTCAGAGCAACAATGAATAAAACCTAGAGGGAGATATGGAGCATTTATTCTAAATATTAGTTTGACAACTGAACCTACTGAAAATTTTTCACCAGAATTTGGAAAACATCATACTATTATGTGAAAAGCTTAGCTTGTTTTTTTTGGGATTTTCTTCCTCCTTTCTAGTGGTGACAAGCAGAAATGGTGTGATGTATGTAACAAGCTCGTGGAACTATATCATCAAGAAAAAAAGTATTTAGAGGTAGGTCAAGTACTTTATCTCTTCTAACAAGAATTTTCAATTTGATCAGAAGTAACTATTTTTCATCAAGGAATCCCCACTTTTTGGGCCACAGACCACTTAAGATCTCGTTGTGGACCGCAGCCAGGAAGAACTGATTTTAACTGTATTTCTTTCTTTTCCACTCTGTAAAACTTGGATGCAATCCGTTAAACCGTCGGAAGGTGACAAGGCTGTCAGAATACAGGCTGAAAGGGTGGAATATAATTTTTCTGTTATATTTTTAGAAGTCATGAATGGTCTCAAATGCACATTTACATGCAATATATGTGAGTCAAGTGTCATTTGACTTGCTTGGCTAATTCTGGGTGTCTGATTATTCCTTCACTGGTGTGGTGATCCCCTCCTAGACTGTCCCTCCCTGATGCTTCATTCCAGAGGGT